TTGAGTGACAACAGAAATCACCGATTAACATTTGTTTGCAGGTATGCACCTGTACATATTTTGCATCTCCAAAGGCCATTTAGATTCTAGAATGCTAAGAACATTTTTTCCGGTGAGTAGCTACCTGAACTTTGCGTTCATTGTAAATGAGTCAACGTTTACCACAATTCATGATTTCTTATCATCAAGCAACGTGTTCAGTCGGTCCTGTTTATTGACCTTGAGCATTCGCTCACCTAAACAAATCGCCATAATAAATGATTCTCAATAACTTCGTTATTGCCGACTGCTTACGTCACCATCTTTTTTCCAGTTAATTCTCATTAATCGCAACCCCCATTAATCGTGCTCTTATTCTGACTGTAATACTATGGTCATGCCTGACGTTATGCTACCCACTGGTTGGGAATAAATACTATTATTATTACTGTTGTTATCAGTAATAGCCTGGGCAATTGTTATCGTGTGTAGTAATGAGTATGCTGTGTCGTCGTTGGTCATTGAACTGGGCTACTCAGCATAGTTGAAGCCTCACTGTCAGTGTTGCACATAGTTACAGGCCTTGCAATTACAAGGAGTTTCCAGGACAGGCGATGTCGGCTATATTTACGAGTATGACGAGCCGTCGTTGGCTGTTAGAGTAAGATGTCACGTATAGTTGGAGCCTGGTTTCCATCGGCCTGCATAGATATTGGCCTGGTGTTTACTGTGGGTAGCAGTCGGGCACGGCAGTGATGATCGGTGTTGAGCACTGATGTCATTCTCTCGATGATGATTATATAGGTAGCAGACAAAAGCGAGAGCGCGCACAATTATGGGTATGACAGGCCAACTTTGGAAGGTAAATAAGGACACTGAGCATAGTTGAAGGCCTAATAATCAACGTCGCACATTGGAGCTAGCCTAGCAGTTTCAAAAATTAGTAAAGGTAAGCGATTTCGCGTACAGTTGTGAGTATGGGTCTATCGTTCGGCATTGAATTAGGTATGTGTGCATAGTTTGGACCTCGTATTCATCAGTTTGCATAAAAAATATCCCGGTATTTTTCATTAGTAGCAAAGGCAAGCGACAACGCGTACATTTACGAGTACGACGAATCGGGCTAGATTGAGTTACCGGTTAATCAACGCCGCACATGGACACGGAATCAGCAGGTACGAGAAGTAGCCATGTAAGACGACTTCGAGTACAGCAGCGGGTATGATAGGCCATCAGATTATGCTATCATGCATAGTTGAGGCTTTTTTTACAGACCTGGATGGATACTGGCCTGGCGCTTACTATAGGTAGCAAAGATAAGCGATATCGCATATGGTATGGGCATGAAAGACCGTCTTTGGTCACTGGATAATTACTGTGCCTAGGCGAGTTCTCATAATCAGCGTCGCACGTGTACGCAGGCCTAGCTGCATTCGAGGTGAGTGACAACGCATAGAGTTATGAGTATCAGAGACCGTCGCTGGTAATTGGATTGGGCTACCCTGAGGCCCCATAATGAGCGTGAAAAACCTGTTGGCGAAGCTTTGTTCAAGCAAGGCATAAGTAAGAATTAGGTCCCCTCGGACGCGACGATACTCCAGGAGAAAGAGATCAAGCATCGCGAGGCGGGTATCACGATTCACGGATTTGAAGCTGGCAACCATTTTTGTAGCGGCTCGCTGAACGTGCTCAATGAGGGTGACGTCTTTCGTGCGTCCTGAGTACACAACTTGGTTGGCGTATTTCAGGAGCGGTCTGACGTAGGCCTCATAGGGTATTTGGAAGTCCGCGCGAGCAATACGGGAGAGGGTACGTCGGATCATCCGTAAAATGGCGAATGC